TTTTCTCAGAGTGTTATTTCTAGTTCTCTAGAGCATTTCATGTTCTCTAGAACATTTTTTTCTCTCAGGAAAAATAGATTTGGGGTTCTGATAATCAAGGCTAGTCTTCTTTTTTCCGAATACTTCTTTGATTTCCTGGCTGCCGTGAATTGAGTAACAGTCTCATTTCACAACAGTTGCCTCAGTGGCCTTGAGAACCTCTCTGCTGATGATTCCATGTCCTTTCTGGTTCCTCTGCCTTCCTCTCTCCCTCTTCCATTGAGCTCAGAAGAAAAGTCCAAAGCCTTTACCATGTCTGACTCTGCCACGTATGATAGCGTGATCTAGGGGCAAAGGGTTTGAGGTTCAAGTTCTGGTCTACTTGCTAGCTGTGTGACCTTAGAAACAATTTTTGATCTTTCTGTGCCTCTGTTTATGCATCTTTCAGGTAGGAAAATAAGAGCATCTATGGCATAGAGCTATTCTCAGAATTAAGTGAATTAATGCAGAGAAAGGGCTTGGGACAGTGCCTGGTATGTAGGGAGCACTTACTAGGTTTGAGCTCCACGCCTCTTCTTCCCCCTCTGCCTCCCCAGCTCCTTATGAAATTTGCCCTTTTTCCATCACTGTGGCTGAAAGATCTTTACACACACGCTCTTTCTACCACCTAGAAAGTTCCTTTCTCCATTCTTCACCTAATTCATTCCTACTTATTCTTCAGGTCACTGCTTAACCGTCACTTCTCAGATGAGCCTCCCTGACCTCCTGTCTCACTCAGACCTATACGAGAATTTCTCATCACAGCACTGACCTTCCTTTTAAAGCCCTGCCACATTTTATTCTTCTGTGTTTATTGATGTGATCCCAGGTGACAGCATGGTCAAGGTGGGAATGTGGCTTCCATTCTCGATGCCCAGCTGAAGCTTGGTCTGCCTCTCTACGATCCATCTGTTCCCAAAGGACATCTGGGAGACTCACTAGTGCAGTTTTACTATCAGCTCCATTCCTGTCTTGGTTTTCGGTGCCTGTCCTTGTGATTCTTTTTATTTATTTATTTATTTATTTATTTATTTATTTATTTTAGGATTTTATTTATTGATTTGACAGAGAGAGGTCACAAGTAGACAGAGAGGCAGGCAGAGAGAGAGAGAGAGAGAGAGAGGGAAGCAGGCTCCCTGCTGAGCAGAGAGCCCGATGCGGGACTCGATCCCAGGACCCTGAGATCATGACCTGAGCCGAAGGCAGCAGCTTAACCCACTGAGCCACCAATGCGCCCCTATTTATTTATTTATTTTAATTTTTTAAGTAATGAATTTATGTTTCATCGTTAGCTTTTCCAGTAAAATTTCAGAATTACACAGACATTCTAGATTTTAATTGGTCTTTAGTAATTCATACAATGTGTATCCTTCTCTGACTTCAATGAGTATTTCATTCTGAATGGGAATAATTTCCTCATATTTCATGCATCAGCCTGTCATATTTCTTTTTTTTTAACCTTTATTTTTTTCGGTGTTCCAAGATTCATTGTTTATATTTAAATAAGTTATATTTCTTTCCTAGTCTCTTTCCAAGAGGAATGCATACTCACTTCAGAAAATACTCCCCTACTGGTTTGTTACGTTGTTCTTAGGTTTTCCCTGTAAGCTATCTAACACTTTGGGGAATAAGTTAGAGATGGTAATACATCAATACAAAGAAATAATCAAGGGGGACCTGGATGGCTCAGTTGGTTGAGTGACCAACTCCTGGTTTAGGCTTAGGTCATAATTTCAGGGTTGTAGGATTGAGTACCCTGTTGGGTTCCCCACTGGGTGCAGAGTCTGCTTGTCCCCACTACCTCTGGCCCTCCCGCCACTGATGCTCTGTCTCTCTCTCTCTCTCAAATAAATAAATAATTAAAAAATCCAGTAAAATAGACGTGAGTCATCTACTTAAACATTTACCTGTGATTAAAATTACATGTTCTTAAGTATTTAGTTCACACAGTGAAGACAAAACGTTGTTTTGGAGACTGGCATCAGATGTAGGGGGCTACACAGAATGGCTGTTACGTTTACTTTTTGCAGGGAAATGGTAAGCTCTAGAGAAATGTGTAGACTTTTCTTTTTTTAAGATTTATTTATTTATTTGACTGAGAGGAGAGAGAGCATGAGAAGGGGCAGGGTCAGAGGAAGAAGCAGACTCCCTGCCAAGCAGGGAGCCTCATGCAGGGCTCGATCCCAGGACTCCAGGATGATGACCCAAGCCGAAGGCAATCACTTAACCAACTGAGACACCCAGGCACCCTAGATTTCTTTCTTCATGCTTAAATTTTTTGTGGATTTTGCACAAATAAATATCCTTTTCCCCCAATAGAATACTAACAACCACAACAGAAGAACAAAGTGGAAATTTGAAAAAATAATGATTTGGAGGGGAGCTAGTTATTGAATCAAATGGGATAGTATTGAGTACATGAAAGTTTACATTGCTTGGGGGTAAATTTGTGGGTCTATTCTAATAACCAAACAGTTTCTTGGCATCTTCAGTACTACCTTGCCCTCTGGCAGGCCAGCAGAGCTCTCCAGCCAATAGTTCTAGTAATTCTCCCTTGGAAAGAAGACAACAGAGTCCCTGCAACCCCAAATCTAAGCTAGTTTCTATTGAGCTCTAGAGAGATATGAAGCTCCCAACCCCACTTTCACCAAATACCCATGGGTTGGGACTTTAGTATTTTATTAAAAATGAACTCTAGCTAAGAATTGTTCATCCTGTGGCTCTTATCCTCAGATATTAGGATTCTTACTGACTGTTTAAAAATGTTAATGTGTCATGTCTTAGCTTGCCACTTCCTGGCATTGAAACAGTGCTGAATTTGCAATCAGCCTCCAAAGCCCACATTATACATTGCATTATTGATTTTGACAAAGGAATTTGGATTTCCATTCAAACAGTTTTAACTACAGAGACAGGTGAAGGAGAGTTCTCCAGGACGTAACATACTCTAAGAAACATAATTTCCATGTTGTTTTCCTTTCTTTTGTAAAACGAGAGATAGAACTGATGCCAGTGTGCATCTGAGTTTAAAAAGAGATGATTTTATGAGTATTAAAATAATAGTAATGTGTATATAATTTTCTTTCCTACCTGATCATTGTTTATTAAATGATACTCATTCATGCTACTCTGTCATCTAAGGTTGGTAAAGAAGTTTCTAAAGGTCTTACCATTTTCTACAAATGATTCATATCAGAAGTACTATTTCATCAAGAATTGATTCTTTTTATTTTATTGATTTATGCAATTTGCACTTAAAATTTAAAAAAGGAAAACAGGTTTGTTCTTTAAACAGCTCCTATTTATAGTAATCATTTTATTAATCATTAATCATAACTTATTTATTTTAAAATGTTTTCATATCAGTTCAATATAGTTCAATAAATTTTTATTGACTTCGTGTCTCTAACCTTTAGAGCTATTCAGTATAATGACTTCTTTAGATTTTGTCTTATTATATTGCTTAATAGGTGATGATAAGCATGTTTGCTGAGTAAACTTTGCTAAGACCTAACAAATTCTTAGCAGAAAAAAGAAAAAATGGTGCTTAACTAGATGAATGTTTGAGAAATAATGTGATCTACTATTCATGTATAGGAACCATACCATCAACATTGGTGGTTAAGGTTTTTTTTTTTTTTTTAAAGATTTTATTTATTTATTTAACAGAGAAGTCACAAGTAGGCAGAGAGGCAGACAGAGGAGGAGGGGAAAGCAGGCTCCCCGCTGAGCAGAGAGCCTGATGAGGGGCTTGATCCTAGGACCCTGAGATCATGACCTGAGCCGAAGGCAGAGGCTTAACCCACTGAGCCACTCAGGTTTCCCTGGTGGTAAGTTTTGAGTTTTGAGGACCCCTCTGTAATTCCCCAGCCTCAACACCCATGTCGCACAGAGAGGCACATGCGTGGGTGCACCCACATGCTCACACACAGTGTGATGTCCATGAGAAAATATCCTCCTTATTCAGAAGACTGTTGTGTTGATCAGGGATAGCCTTGTGGCCACAAAGAAATTGCTTTAGTCTAATCAGTTGTACTGACTGGTTAAAAACTCTGAGGATAGTACAGCTTAAAAAATCTCAGACTGTGCAGCACCCTTCACCAAGATTTTCTCATGGTCAAACAGATTCTGTCTTAGGACCAAACTCCAAGCTGGAGATCTGGGTTGTAGTGATCCCTGTGGACATCTTATAAAAAGTGACAGGATTGGACCATTGGACTTTTAGAGTCATTTGATTTTATGATATGTGCATGTTTTATAATTAGCACATGACGTATTGCCTCTAGACAGTAATAACAGCCATAAAGTTAAGACATTGTCAATTGGGGTCAAACAAATCTGGGTGTAAATTCCAACTCTGCCCATTACTGTGTGTTTGGATTGGTGTGTCATTTCACCTCTTGGGCTGCAGTTTCTTTATTTATAAAGTGGGACCATAATCCCCATCTGTCAACTTTTTTCCTGAGGATTAAATGAGATAATGTTTGGAAGTGCTTAGCTCTTTAACCAGTAATGGCTAGTACTGTGAAATGGTAACATGACTTGGGATCCATATATAGAAAAATAGAAAAAGAAGAAGAACTTTCTCTGCCTTTGGGTTTTTTCAATTAAAGATTTTTTAAATTTTTTAAATTTAAGATTTTATTTGTTTATCTGACAGAGAGAGAGATCACAAGTAAGCAGAGAGGCAGGCAGAGAGAGAGGGGGAAGCAGGCTCCCTGCTGAGCAGAGAGCCCCACGCAGGGCTGATACCATGACCTGAGCTAAAGTCAGGAGCTTAACCCACTGAGGCACCCAGGTGCCCCCCTCTTTTTGTCATTATGCTTCCCATTGAAGTTCCGTGTGTAAAACAGATGTCAAATAAGAGAACACTCACAATTTTATCTTTAAATTTTAGCACTTAAATTTACAAAAAATTGAAATGAAATTTTAATTTATATAACATTTCAACAAGTTTTAAAATTCAAATCTATTTGTTGCAGGTGACGACAATAGGCATCTCCATACTTTGCAGCAAATAAAAACTGTGACCGACCAAGTGAAGCAAAATGAAGAAAGCACTTCCCCTCCGCAGCTGGCCAGGAGGACCGAGGCATCACTGCCACCGTCAGCGAGGACACAGAACCCCTCTCCAGTTCTGGCGAGACCCCAAGAGCCCTCTTTTCACTCAGGAATCCTGGAAGCAATGTCCCGGCAGGATGACCGTGCCCAGATCTTCCTGTGGAGCTTTCTGCTGTGGTCTGACACCATAGAAATGGTACGCGTGGCTGGCCACGCCGACGTGTACAAGTCAGGCTGGCTATACCCAGTCTACATATTCAGTTTTATTTCTCTCCTTCGAATTATATTAACTCCTCAGAACCCTCTTCTGAATTCCCTGGGCATCCTTCTCCAGGATTTACCCTTTATTTTTGTTAGACTTAGTTTGGTCATTGCCCTGGGAACTATCACACCTGTATTGGGCCTTTGTAAAAACATCCTAGTGACTGTATCTTATGTGTACTTCAATTACTTAACCAAATTCAGGGCTTTCTCTACCTTCGAAACATCTTCATTTTAAAGAGAAAATGTAATATAGTCAAACCTCTACATTATGCGTGTGTACACATTTGTAATTTTTTCTTTCTGGGGCCGAAGTTTTTGTACTATATAAAGAAATGAGGAATACATTGTAGAGAATACACTTTTTTTTTTTTAAAGAACTGTAGCATATCACTTTTTCAAAAATGTATTCAAATGATGTTAAATTTAAGCAAAGTTTTATTCTTATGTTAACTCCCCTGGGTCTCTAGAAAATGTTACTCATTTTAGTCTGTTATGTATACCACACTTTTTCTCAGAACTCTCTCCATTAAAGCCTTAAAAAAATCAGAACATGTTTTCCCACTAAGTTAATTTTAACCATGCATTTGTGAAAAACAATATGTAAAATCTTAAGATTAGGAGGAGAAGTCAAGATGGCAGAGAAGTAGCAGCTGAGACTACTTCAGGTAGCGGGAGATCAGCTTGATAGCTTATCTAAAGATTGCAAACACCTACAAATCCAATGAGAGATCGAAGAGAAGAAGAACAGCAATTCTAGAAACAGAAAATCAACCACTTTCTGAAAGGTAGGACTGGCGGAGAAGTGAATCCAAAGGGACGGGAAGACAGACCCCGGGGGGAGGGGCCGGCTCCCGGCAAGCGGCGGAGCAACGGAGCACAAAATCGGGACTTTTAAAAGTCTGTTCCGCTGAGGGACATCGCTCCAGAGGCTTAACTGGGGTGAAGCCCACGCGGGGCCAGTGTGGCCTCAGGTCCCGCAGGGTCACAGAAGGATCGGGGTGTCTGAGTGTCGCAGAGCTCGCAGGTATTAGAACAGGGAAGCCGGCTACAGAGACGGAGCCGAGGAGTGAGCTCACAGCTCGGGCTTACCTTGAACCGGTCGCAGGCTCGGTCAGCTCGGAGCGCGGCCGGAGGCCAGGGTGACGGGAGTAATTGGGCGCTGTTCTCTGGGGGCGCACTGAGGAGTGGGGCCCCGGGCTCTCGGCTCCTGCAGGCCGGAGACTGGGAGGCCGCCATCTTCATTCCCGTCCTCCGGACTCTACGGAAAGCGCTCAGGGAACAAAAGCTCCCGAAAGCAAACCCGAACGGATTACTCAGCCCGGCCCCTGGTAAGGGCGGTGCAACTCCGCCTGGGGCAAAGACACTTGAGAATCACTACAACAGGCCCCTCCCCCAGAAGATCAACAAGAAACCCAGCCGGGACCAAGTTCACCTACCAAGGAGTGCAGTTTCAATACCAAGGAGAGCAGCGGAATTCAAGAGGAGGAGAAAGCAAAGCACGGAGCTCATGGCTTTCTCCCCATGATTCTTTAGCCTTGCAGTTAATTTAATTTTTTTTTCTTTTTCAATTTTTTTTCTCTTCTTCTGCTAAATTTTTTTTAACTTTTACCCTTTTCTTTTTTTAACGTTTTTTAACTAGTTTATTTAATATATATATATTTTTTTCTTTTTTATATTTTTTCTTTATTGTCTTTTTTTTTAATTGTTTCTTTTTCTTTTTCTTTTTTTTTTCTTTTCTTTCTGAACCTCTTTTTATCCCCTTTCTCCCCCCTCATGATTTGGGATCTCTTCTGATTTGGTTAAAGCATATTTTCCTGGGGTTATTGCCACCCTTTTAGTATTTTACTTGCTCCTTCATATACTCTTATCTGGACAAAATGACAAGGCAGAAAAATTCACCACAAAAAAAAAAAAGAACAAGAGGCAGTACCAAAGGCTAGGGACCTAATCAATACAGACATTGGTAATATGTCAGATCTAGAGTTCAGAATGACGATTCTCAAGGTTCTAGCCGGGCTCGAAAAAGGCATGGAAGATATTAGAGAAACCTTCTCAGGAGATATAAAAGCCCTTTCTGGAAAAATAAAAGAACTAAAATCTAACCAAGTTGAAATAAAAAAAGCTATTAATGAGGTGCAATCAAAAATGGAGGCTCTCACTGCTAGGATAAATGAGGCAGAAGAAAGAATTAGCGATATAGAAGACCAAATGACAGAGAATAAATGACTGAGCAAAAGAGGGACAGACAGCTACTGGACCACGAGGGGAGAATTTGAGAGATAAGTGACACCATAAGATGAAACAACATTAGAATAATTGGGATTCCAAAGAAGAAGAAAGAGAGAGGGGAGCAGAAGGTATATTGGAGAGAATTACTGGAGAGAATTTCCCCAATATGGCAAAGGGAACAAGCATCAAAATCCAGGAGGTTCAGAGACTCCCCCCCAAAAATCAATAAGAATAGGTCCACACCCTGTCACCTAATAGTAAAATTTACAAGTCTTAGCGACAAAGAGAAAGATCCTGAAAGCAGCCCGGGAAAAGAAGTCTGTAACATACAATGTTAAAAATATTAGATTGGCAGCAGACTTATCCACAGAGACCTGGCAGGCCAGAAAGAGCTGGCATGATATATTCAGAGCACTAAACGAGAAAAACATGCAGCCAAGAATACTATATCCAGCTAGACGATCATTGAAAATAGAAGGAGAGATTAAAAGCTTCCAGGACAAACAAAAACTGAAAGAATTTGCAAACACCAAACCGGCTCTACAGGAAATATTGAAAGGGGTCCTCTAAGCAAAGAGAGACCCTAAAAGTAGTAGATCAGAAAGGAACAGAGACAATATACAATAACAATCACCTTGCAGGCAATACAATGGCACTAAATTCATATCTCTCAATAGTTACCCTGAATGTTAATGGGCTAAATGCCCAAATCAAAAGACACAGGGTATCAGAATGGATAAAAAAACAAAACCCATCTATATGTTGCCTACAAGAAACTCATTTTAAACCCGAAGACACCTCCAGATTTAAAGTGAGGGGGTGGAAAAGAATTTACCATGCTAATGGACATCAGAAGAAAGCAGGAGTGGCAATCCTTATATCAGATCAATTAGATTTTAAGCCAAAGACTATAATAAGAGATGAGGAAGGACACTATATCATACTCAAAGGATCTGTCCAACAAGAAGATCTAACAATTTTAAATATCTATGCCCCTAACGTGGGAGCAGCCAACTATATAAACCAATTAATAACAAAATCAAAGAAACACATCAACAATAATACAATAATAGTAGGGGACTTTAACACTCCCCTCACTGAAATGGACAGATCATCCAAGCAAAAGATCAACAAGGAAATAAAGGCCTTCAATGACACACTGGACCAGATGGACATCACAGATATATTCAGAACATTTCATCCCAAAGCAACAGAATACACATTCTTCTCTAGTGCACATGGAACATTCTCCAGAATAGATCACATCCTCGGTCCTAAATCAGGTCTCAACTGGTACCAAAAGATTGGGATCATTCCCTGCATATTTTCAGACCACAATGCTCTGAAGCTAGAACTCAATCACAAGAGGAAATTTGGAAAGAACCCAAATACATGGAGACTAAACAGCATCCTTCTAAAGAATGAATGGGTCAACAAGGAAATTAAAGAAGAATTGAAAAAATTCATGGAAACAAATGATAATGAAAACACAACGGTTCAAAATCTGTGGGACACAACAAAGGCAGTCCTGAGAGGAAAATATATAGCGGTACAAGCCTTTCTCAAGAAACAAGAAAGGTCTCAAATACACAACCTAACCCTACACCTAAAGGAGCTGGAGAAAGAACAAGAAAGAAACCCTAAACCCAGCAGGAGAAGAGAAATCATAAAGATCAGACCAGAAATCAATGAAATAGAAACAAAAAAAAACAATAGAACAAATCAACAAAACTAGGAGCTGGTTCTTTGAAAGAATTAATAAGATTGATAAAACCTTGGCCAGACTTATCAAAAAGAAAAGATAAAGGACCCAAGTAAATAAAATCATGAATGAAAGAGAAGAGATCACAACGAACACCAAAGAAATACAGACAATTATAAGAACATACTATGAGCAACTATACGCCAACAAATTTGACAATCTGGAAGAAATGGATGCATTCCTAGAGACATATAAACTACCACAACTGAACCAGGAAGAAATAGAAAGCCTGAACAGACCCATAACCAGTAAGGAGATTGAAACAGTCATCAAAAATCTCCAAACAAACAAAAGCCCACGTCCAGACGGCTTCCCAGGGGAATTCTACCAAACATTTAAAGAAGAACTAATTCCTATTCTCCTGAAACTGTTAAAAAAGAATAGAAATGGAAGGAAAACTTCCAAACTCATTTTATGAGGCCAGCATCACCTTGATCCCAAAACCAGACAAAGATCCCATCAAAAAAGAGAACTACAGACCAATATCCTTGATGAACACAGATGCAAAAATTCTCACCAAAATACTAGCGAATAGGATTCAACAGTACATTAAAAGGATTATTCACTACGACCAAGTGGGATTTATTCCAGGGCTGCAAGGTTGGTTCAACATCCGCAAATCAATCAATGTGATACAACACATTAATAAAAGAAAGAACAAGAACCATATGATACTCTCCATAGATGCTGAAAAAGCATTTGACAAAGTCCAGCATCCCTTCCTGATCAAAACTCTTCAAAGGGTATTGATAGAGGGCAAATACCTCAATATTATCAAAGCCATCTATGAAAAACCCACCGCAAATATCATTCTCAATGGAGAAAAACTGAAAGCTATTCCGCTAAGGTCAGGAACATGGCAGGGATGTCCATTATCACCACTGCTATTCAACATAGTACTAGAAGTCCTAGTCTCAGCAATCAGACAACAAAAGGAAATTAAAGGCATCCAAATCGGCAAAGAAGAAGTCAAACTATCACTCTTCGCAGATGATATGATACTATATGTGGAAAACCCAAAAGACTCCACTCCAAAACTGCTAGAACTTGTACAGGAATTCAGTAAAGTGTCAGGATATATAATCAATGCACAGAAATCAGTTGTATTTCTTTACACCAACAGCAAGACAGAAGGAAGAGAAATTAAGGAGTCAATCCCATTTACAATTGCACCCAAAACTATAAGATACCTAGGAATAAACCTAACCAAAGAGACTAAGAATCTATACACAGAAAACTATAAAGTACTCATGAAAGAAATTGAGGAAAACACAAAGAAATGGAAAAATGTTCCATGCTCCTGGGTTGGAAGAATAAATATTGTGAAAATGTCTATGCTACCTAAAGCAATCTACACACTTAATGCAATTCCTATC